CCTGTTCATGCAGTTATGGGGTTGCTGGGGTTGGGAAAACCCTCTAAGATCATGGAACATTCTGTTGATGGAGTTATGGGGTCATCAGGATTGGGAAAGACCTCTAAGGTCAGGGAAAGTTATGGGGTCATWAGGGCTGGAAAARCCCTCTAGGATCATGGAACTCCTGTTCATAGAGTTATGGGGTCACTGGGGTTGGAAAGCCCTCTGGGATCACTGAACACCCTGTTCATGCAGTTATGGGGTTATTGGAGTTGGGAAAGCTCTCTGGGATCACAGAACACCAGCACCACCTGTGACCYGTGTCCCCAAGTGCCACATCCRGACAGTTTTCAGTCCTTTCCAGGGATGGGGGCATCACCACCACCCTGTGCCACCTGTTCCACCCTTTCCGTGAAGGATTTTCCCCTATTTCCCGTGGTTTTGGGTCCCTGCTGCTGCTCTGCACGTCCAAATGCCATAAAGGATATTTTATTTCTCTGCACAGTCTCCCTGCTGGGTTCTTTCCCGGCTCAAGGGGTTTTTCCTCACGTTCCTCACGTTCCCTCCCTTCCCTCCACCAGGTCACGCCCAGAGCCGGAGCATGAACGACATTTCGGACACACCGAGCACCGACCAGGTACCCACCCCAAATCATCCCACCCCAAATCGGGGAGGAGCATCCCAACACCATCCCTGCCATGCTCCGGGGCTGTTGGGGTCCACGTGAGCCTGGTCCCGGTCGATTCCCGCACAAATTCCTAATTAGGGCAGTTAATGCCTCCATCGATCCCTGCGCGTCCGCGGGGAAGCTGAACCGGAGCGTGGAATTGGGGCCGAGCGAGGGGGYTGGGGCAGCTCTGATTCCTCGGGGTGGGGGAGAAAAATCCCACCAGATCTTCAGSGATGGCAGGGAAGGTGCTTGGAAGAGCAGGAATCCTAAAGGATTGGCTGGGAGAGGGCGGGAAATCCCATCCCAGCCCTTGGGGTTGCGTATTGTGCACAGGGCTTCGGCTGTGGAAGCGAGGGGCAGGATTTTGGGGTCATTTATGGTTTTTTCTCAGTTTTTCCTGGGGGTTTCTCAAAGCAAAGCTCAGCCCAGAGGCCATGGAGGGCAATTCCTTCCAGGATTGCTGTCGGGAGGGAGTTGGAGGGGAAGCAGATCCCAGTTTAGGGATGGGATTGGGGCGATTTTATCCCATTCTTTTGCTCAGTGTCCCGTTCCCATCCCAGATTTTATTTGGGAATTGTCGGTTCCTTGCACAACCTTTCCTTTTTCCTGTTTGTGATTTCACCAAAGGGAAATTCAACAACCCCATGGGTTTTTAGGGAACAGGGTGGGATAACAACTTGCCTTTTCCCCGGGATGTCCTTGCTGGGGCGACGCAGTTTAGGGCCGGCCCAAATACAAGAAATAATTTAATTTAATTCTCTGGATTTCACGGACGGAAATCCACACACTGCTGGGAGCCACAGACAGGGACACCAGGGCACCTCCCCGTGCCCACTCAGGAACCCCAAATAGCCCCTCCAGCAATGGGGTTCGGAGGGTTAATCCCAAAATATGCAAAGCATGTAGGTTTAATCACCCTATTAGGCCCACTACAAAGGGACTTTTTAAGTGTTACACGAAGCTTAGTGGTCACTGGAAACTCCTGCTCTTATTCCGAGGAGTTGCTTTATTATTATGATTTTTTTTTTAATTTTTTTTTTTTTCCATTTGGATTTAAAAGATTAGGACGGGGCAGAGGCTCACATGCCTGCCCTCATGCTGCCATATAGATTATCATAACTCCCTGCCCGCGCTGCTATTGAACCCATGTGGCTCGAAATAAAAGAGCTGCAGGGTAGAAGAGACCTCGGGAATAAATCCATGGATGAGGTTTTCCTGTTCCCGTTGTTTGTTCCCTGCTCATGGAATGGGGCTGGGGAGGAGTGAGGTGTCGAAAATTCCCCATGCAGGGGGTTTGGGGGAGCCTGGGGGCGCAAAAAAAAAACCCAAAAATGTTCCTGGCTGGCTGCAGCATCCCCGGGGATCAGTTCGGATTTTCTGCAGGGGGATTTCAGGGAGCTCTCCTTGTGGAGAATACAGAAGAGCAGAACGTCTTTTACAACAGCCCCTTTGTTGGTGGGGTTGGAGGGCCCTGGGTGCACAGTTTGGGGTCAGTCTTGAGTTCGGCCACATTTCTGAGCAAATTCAGCTCTGAATTTCCCCTGGGTGCACCCTTTGGTTCAGTCTCACTTTTAGCCACATTTCTGAACAAATTCAGCTCCGTGAATTTCCCCTGGATGCACATTTTGGGGTCAGCCTTGGGTTCGGCCACATTTCTGAGCAAATTCAGCTGTGAATTTCCCCTGGATGCACATTTTGGGGTCAGCCTTGGGTTTAGTCACGTTTCTGAACAAATTCAGCTCCGTGAATTTCCCCTAGGTGCACAGTTTGGTTCAGTCTCCATTTTAGCCACATTCTTTAACAAATTCAGCTCCCTCAATTTCTCCTGGGTGCTCATTTTGGTGTCAGTTTTGGATTTGGCCAAATTTCTGAACCAATTCAGCTCCTGGGTGCGCAGTTTGGGGTCAGTCTCACTTTTAGCCACATTTCAGCTCCAGGAATTTCTCTTGGGTGCACAGTTTGGAGCCAGTCTCGGTTTTGGCCATGTTTCTGAACAAATTCAGCTCCATGAATTTCCCCTGGGTGCACCCTTTGGTGTCAGTTTTGGATTTGGCCACATTTCTGAACAAATTCACCTCCATTAATTTCTCCTGGGTGCACATTTTGGTGTCAATCTCAATTTTGGCCGCATTTCTGAACAAATTCAGCTCTGTGAATTTCCCCTGAGTGCACAGTTTAGGGTCAGTCTTGGTTTCAGCTGCATTTCTGAATAATTTCAGCTCCGTGAATTTCTCCTGGATGCATATTTTGGTGTCAGTGTCAGTTTTGGCCACATTTCTGAACAAATTCAGCTCTGAATTTCTCCTGGGTGCACATTTTTGGTGTCGATATGAGTTTTGGCAGCATTTCTGAACCAATTCAGCTCCGGGAATTTCTCCTGGCTTATTCCCATGCGTGGCTCCTCAATCCCCACCTCTGTGAGTCTTTGACACCGCCAGAGGTGAAACCTTTGAGCTTGAGGCTTCAACTTTCATGGCTGGGATGAGGAAAAAAAAAGGGGAGAAATCCCAAATTTTGGCATCTGCTCCCTTCCCCACTCTCATCTTTCCCAACAGCTGAAGAACAAATTCATCAAGAAGATCCCCAAGGAYGCCGAGGCCTCCAAYGTGCTGGTGGGGGAGGTGGAGTTCCTGGAGAAGCCCTTTGTGGCTTTTGTCCGGCTTCTCCAGGCCACCATGCTGGGCGGGGTGACCGAGGTGCCCGTCCCCACCAGGTGAGCGCAGTCCCACGGGGACGAACGGTTCGGTGACACCGGTGGTGACACCAAGGTCACCAATGTGGTGCTTTTCCCTCCCCAGGTTCCTCTTCATCCTCCTGGGCCCAGCAGGAAAAGCCAAATCCTACAACGAGATCGGCCGAGCCATCGCCACGCTCATGGTGGATGATGTGAGTAGAGGTTCTCGCCGGGAACCAAGGGAAAAAAAATCAATTTTCACTTAATCGCCCCAAAAATGGAGCTTTAAAGCCCCAGAAGGACGCGGGGCTGGGGGCCGTGCTCAGGGTGACCCCGCTGCCCTCTCCACCCCCAGCTCTTCAGCGATGTTGCCTACAAAGCCCGTGACAGGGAGGACCTGATCGCCGGCATCGACGAGTTCCTGGACGAGGTCATCGTCCTCCCGCCCGGCGAGTGGGACCCCAACATCCGCATCGAGCCGCCCAAAAAAGTGCCCTCGGCCGAGAAGAGGTGGGTGGGGCTGTGGGGCTGGACCCAGCCCTGTGGCCGGTTTTGGGGGACAAAACCATGTCTGGTTTTGGGGGACAAAACTGTGTCTGGTTTTGGAGAATGAGAGCTTTGCCGGGCTCTCTCCCTGGGAAGAACCCGTCCAAATGTTCCCAAGGGTCAGATTTCCAGCAGGTTTTGTTCCCGGATTGGCTCTGAGCCATTCCCATTCTGCAGGAACAGTTTCCAGTGGGCGCTGCCCCTGCCCATGGGGCTGCAATGGATGAGCCTGGGTGACCCTTGAGTCTCTCCAACTAAATCCATCCCATGAGTCCATGACGTGGGCAAAGCTCTGGATCTCTCCAAATTCACCCCAAAACCCACCTCAGTGTGGGCACAGAGCTGCACCATAGCTGTGGTGCTCACCCCAGGGCTCTGCGGTGCTAATCTGGTGGTACCCATGCCAGTCTGAGTCTGGAGGGTTTGGTGATGGTGCTGACCCAAGACCAGAGGATTTGGTGGTGCTGATCTGGTGGTACTGATGCCAGTCCGAGGCCGGAGGGTTCAGTGGTGGTGCCGACCCGAGTCTGAAGGGTTTGGTTGGTGCTGATCTGGTGGTACCGGTGCCAACCTGAGTCTGAAGGGTTTGGTGGTGTTGATCTGGTGGCACCGGTTGTACCGGTGCCAACTTGAGGCTGGAGGGTTCAGTGGTGCCGACCCAGTGGTTCCAACCCAGTGGTGCCATTTCAAGGCCAGAGGGTTCAGTGGTGCCAATCCAATGGTGCCAGTGCTGACCTGGGGCAAGAGGGTTCGGCAGTGACAATCCAAGGCTGGCGGGTCCATGGACTGATCTGAGGCTGCACCAGTGCCACTGGTGACAATCCAAGGTCAGAGGGTTCGGTGGTGCCAATCTGGTGGTGCCGGTGCCAACCCAAAGCTGGAGAGTTCATGGTGTTGATCCAGCAGTGCCAGTGCTGACCCGGGGCCAGAGGGTTTGACTGCGCCAATCCAGTGGTACCAATGCGGATCCAAGGCTGGAGGGTTCCATGGTGCCAATCCGGTGGTGCCAGTGCCAGCCTGAGGCTGGAGGGTTTGGTGATGCCAATCCGAGACTGGGGACTTTTGTGGTGCCAATCCTGTTGTCCCAGTGCTGACCCAAGGTGGGAGGGGTTCAGTGGTGCCAATCTGGTGGTGCCGGTGCTGATCCAAGGCTGGAGTGTTCCGT